CACTGGCGCATCCACACCGGGGAGAAGCCCTATGAATGTCCTGAGTGTGGGAAGAGGTTTCGGACCACCACGAAACTCCTCCAGCATCAGCCAACACACGCAGAGGAGAGGCCCTTCCACTGCCATGACTGTGGGAAGGGCTTCACCCGCAACTCCCACCTTGTCAGCCATCAGCGCACCCACACCGGGGAGAAGCCCTACAAGTGCTTGGAGTGTGAGAAGAGCTTCAGCACAAGCTCTGACCTGATCCAGCACCAGATAATCCACACTGGGGAACGGCCCTACGAGTGTGAGGAATGTGGGAAGAGCTTCAACCGCATCTCCAACCTCAACACACACCTCAAGATCCACACTGGGGAACGGCCCTACAAATGTGAGGAATGTGGGAAGAACTTCAGGCGCAGCTCCCACCTCATGAGCCACCAGAAGATCCACACTGGCAAACGTGAATGGCCGTATGAGTGCTTGGAATGTGGGAAGAGCTTCAGCACTAGCTCCGACCTCATTAAGCATCAGAGGATCCACTCTGGGGAGCGACCCTATGAATGTGGGGAGTGTGGGAAGAGCTTCAGCCAGAGCTCCAACCTCATTCGCCACCAAACAACCCACACCAGGGAACGGCCCTACAGGTGCTTGGAATGTGGGAAGGGCTTCAACCGCAACTCCCACCTCATCAGGCACCAGCAGATCCACACCAGGCAGAGGCCCTGAGTGTGGGAAGAGCTTCTCCAGGAGCTCTCACTTGACCCAACACCAATGGAGGCGCCACTAAGGGAAGCCGTGGAAGTGCCCTGAGTGCGGGAAGAGCTTCATGCACTGCTCCAGCTCCATCCCCATGGGAGGATCCACGTTGGATGATCCCCAGTGACCCCCACTGGGCAGAGCCCTGGTGAGCCCATTCCAGGTGATCCCTGTTGGGTGAGGGGAAGGTGTTGGAGAAATGTCTTTCCCTTCTTCTTGTACTGCTGTGATTTGGTTGGTAATAAATCCCCTCCCTGTGCCCAGGCTGGGTCTCTGACGCCCATGCCACTTTTGATGATTGACCTCTCCCAGTCTTATCCCAACCCAGGAACTCTTGGTTAAATTTTCTTTCCCCTGTGCAGCTGCGGGGGGCAGGGACAGAGTGGCTTTGGTGGGTGGCTTACATCAGGCCAGTGTCACCTATGGGCACCCCTGAGATCCCAGTGTGGTTCTGCGTTGCCCCCTCCTCCTCCCCAGGCTGCAGTGTGATCTGAGAAATGTTTGTTAGGTCTTGTCCTTGGAAACAGTATCTGGGTTTTGCTCTTTGCAAGCTTATCAGAAATAATGTCTGCTCCCAGGAATTGCTAAAAGGCTCCTGTTTTCCTTATGGAAAATATTCCTTGGAAAATTTTCCTTGGAAAATAGTCCTCTTGCCTGAATGGCACAACATTCCTTTCTCACACTTTTAGAGGAAGTGCCAAGCCAAACTGTGGCTGGGATGAAACATCGTTGTGACTGAAGCCCACTCTCTTCTGACCCTATCAATAGTGGTCCGAAAGGAGACCTTTTGAGCTCTCCTGGGCCACCACGGGCTGTGACCAGCAATCTCCCTCTGAGGGGGCCTCTCAGAGCCAGCAAACCCTCGGGTTTGCTCTGCCTGCAGGATCACCAAACACGGCGTGTCCCGGGCCGATATCCCTGCTCCTCAAGGCCCCATCCTTCACCCAGCAGGAGATGCAAAAGCACCTGAAGGGAGGATGTCACCGACCTCCGAGGGGAATTTTTCACAGGTACCTTGCTTGCACTGACAGTTTCTGTCTGTGTGCGTGCCCCTGCACATATGCTATAGGAAATCTGGGAGAAATACTGCTTTCTGAGATGTCTAAGTACCTTGGATATCTAAGTTAGGCCTGTTAGCAAGGTTCAGTTATAGTTAGGAGCTTACTTCAATGCTGCTAAGTGTTGTTTTGCTAAGTGGTAAAACATGAGTTATAAGTTAAGTTTTGTTTTTCTGTTAAGTTGCTAAGTAGAATGTGGAAGTTATAGCTGTAAGTTAGGTTAAATGCTAAGTGTTACTGCTCTGTTGAATTGCTAGCCCTAAGGTATCAGTTAAGTTAAAGTAGAAATTGAAGTGCTGCTCAGTGTTGTTTTTAGGCTGTGTTCCTTTAATCCCTGCCCACACTGTCTTTTGTACCTCGCACTTAACACAACACACACCCACTCACACTCTCTTAGAGAGTTCTCAGTGCATTTCTGTTTTGGTTGTCTGCATTTTGTTTGGATTTTTTGTTGCTTGTTTTCCCTTGTGCCTTAGCTGTCCTGTAGGCAGTAGAGTGAATCTTGCCAATGAACTTGTTGTGCTTTGTTGCTAAACATTAAATCTGATTTTGCTCATGCCCTTGCCACTGATTTTTAAGCAATCTCAGTCACTCTCATTCATGACAGCCCCACAATGTCCCACATCACCGAGGGCCCTGGCAGGGACCCGTGTCACAAAGGGCCACAGCCGGCACCCAGCAAGGGAGGGACAGAGTGGAACGGGCACGGAGCAGCCCCGGCCCTGTGGCCTTGTGGCCCCTGCGGTGCCCAGAGCCCTGGGAGGCTTTGGCCAGGGTGCCAGGACAGCCCCAGCCCGGCCCTGCCCAGTCCTGGGCTCAGCCCGGGCTCTTCGGGGCAGCAGGAATTGGCCGGCCGGCCATGCCGTGGTGTTTGCGGTGTCCAGCGGCATCTCAGGGTAGTGTGCAGGGGTCAGGACCCCCAAAACCTCTCACAGACACCCCAAGCCCCTCCAAGCAGGGGTTGGGGTGTCTGTGAGAGGTTTTGGGGTTCCAAGGGAGTCCAAGAGAGTTTGGACTCCCAAACTCTCTTCCAATCCCTTCCCAGCCCCACCAGGACTCACCAAGACCTCTTCCAGTCCCTTCCTAGCATAAACAACCTCATTCCAAGCCCCACTTTTGCATCCCATATGTCATTCTAGCCCTTCCAGGCTCATTCACATCCAGTTACACTCAGCACGCCCCAAATTCCCACCATGACCCCTGGAACCCCATCCCACCTTCCCCAACATCCTTCAAACTCCTTCTCAGCCCTTCCAGACCCCGAGCTCCTCTCCCAGTTTAAGCCAGGCTTCATCTCCCTTAAACTCCCTGTCAAACTCCCTCGCTGTTACTCCCAGCACACCCCAATCCCCCTCCCAGCCCCCCCAGTGCCTCCCCACTGTCACTGGCAATGTGGGGGCCGGGCTGTACCCCAGTTCTGGCTCAGGGGTACTCCAGGCTGACGTGCTCCACCTGGCAGCTGCAGGTGACCCCGCACTGGGGGCAGTTTCCAGCAGCACCAGGAGCTGGTGGCTCCAGTCCCCACTGGGAACCACATCGGTGGCCACCACAGAGAGCTCCTGCTGGCCCTGGAACCACCTCAGCTGGATGTGGGCAGGGTAGAAATGCATCACGGAGCAGAGCTGGCAGCCGGGGCTGGGCTGGGAGCTCGAGGGCACCAGTGGGATGGACACGGTGGGATGGGCACTGGGAGAGAGCTGGGGGGAACTGGGAGAGTCAGGGGAGGGGTGGTGTGGCATTTAGACGGAGTGGGAGTGCACAGCGAGAACTGTGGAGCACTGAGAGCGAGGGTGAAGGTCTCGGAGTGAAATGAGGTGTGACAATGGACTGGTAGTGTACTGGGAATGAGACAAGAGGGACTGGGAGAGAGTTTGTGGACATTGGGAGGACCTGGGGCGGCACTGGGGGATGCAGGTCTGCCTGGCAACTGATGAATCATCAGAGAGCCGCACTCTGATTGGCTGATGGGCGGCAGTGCCACGCACGGCTGAGATGGACACGCAGGGGGCACTGGGAGAGACTGGGATGGACTGGGAGAGACTGGGATGGACTGGGAGAGCCACGGGAGCCACTGGGACGGACAAGAGGCCGCGGGGATGGGCAAAGGAGGACTGAGGGCTCTGGAGTGATTCCCAGGGAAGTTTTGAGGGGACATGCTTGGGCCCCTCTCTGTGTCCCAGGAGCAGCGGGCACGGGCAGGAAAATGCAGGAGCGAAGAGCCCGACACCCCAAAATGCCCGAGCCCTGCACCCCTGCCCTCCCCCAAACGATTTCAGGGCTGTGCCAGAGCCAGCAGCCAGCCCTTTGTCATCTCAGTCACCCGCGGCTGTCACCCCCTGCTTCTCCCGGCGCCTTTCTAGGTCACAAATGGGACAAAAACTCCCAGAGAAACCCAAACCCCCCGATGTGAGTCCATCCCATGGGCAGCAGCCCCCTCACCCTGCTGCAGCCCCGGAGGTCAGTCTGCCACAAGGTGAGTCCTGCCTCTCTGGCCGTGGGGCTCACACGGGGTCACAGCCTCCTCTCAGGCACCCCCCTGTGCCAGGGGGCTGCTCCAAGGGCTCTGGGGGATCTCTGCATCCAGCACCTCCGTCTTTAGAACCACCAGGGATTGCCTCTGTTGGACACTGAGGATACTTCCAGCAGCTTCTCTCAGAGCCCGCCCCACTACCATAACCAGTCCATACAAACCCAATACATCCCAAAAAATGGGATCCCAAATATCCAAGGACCCAGATGCACCCCAAAATGGGGATGGAGATGTCCAGGGGCTCAGGTGTTCCCAAAGTGAGGCCCCAGCTGAGGTCGTTCTCTGCTTGGCTGAGCGCTGCCTGAGGGCTGGGGCTGCAGCAAGGGGGGACACCCTCCTCCAGCAGGGGGGAGCCCCACAAGCCCCTCAGAACTCCCGGGGCTGGGCTGGTCTTGCCTGGATGTGAATGGACACCAAAACTGCTCTGTCCCTGCCCTCTGCAGCTGCACAGGGAGAGGAAACACAAGGAATGGCCCAGGAGCTGAGAAGGAACGGGAGAGATCCCACCATGAGCACCAGCAAGGGCACAACAGACCCAGCCTGGGCGCAGGGAGTGAATTTATTACCAACCAAATCACAGCAGCACAAGGAGAAGAAATCTCTCCAACACCTTCCCCCACCCACTGGAGGTCACCCAGAACAGGGATCACCAGGGATTTGCCCAACGGGGGTCACTGGGGATCATCCAGCATGGATCCTGCACGTGGGGTGGAGCTGGAGCAGCGCACCAAGCCCTTCCTGCACTCGGGGCACTCGTAGGGCCTCTCCCCACTGTGGAGGCGCCAGCTCAGGAGGGTGGAGTTGTGCTTGAAGCCCTTCCCGCAGTCGGGGCAGCAGAAAGGCCTCTCCTGTGTGTGAATGCGCTGATGCAGGAGGAGACGGGATGACCTCAGAAACCTCTTCCCACACTGGGGACACTCGAAGGGCCTCTCCCCGGTGTGCAGCATCTGGTGCTCCCTCAGGCTGGAGCTCCGCCCAAAGCTCTTCCCACATTCCAAGCAGGTGTGGGGTCGCTCCCCAGTGTGGATCTTGCTGTGGCTGATGAGGTTGTAGCTCTTGCTGAAGCCCTTCCCGCATTCCCCACACTTGTAGGGCTTTTCCCCTGTGTGGATCACCTGGTGCTCCCTCAGATGGGAGCTGTACTTGAAACCCTTCCCACATTCCAAGCACTTGTGGGGCTTCTCCCTGCCATGAGGCTTCTCCACCAGCTCCGAGCTCTGCCTGGATCTCCGGCCGCCTTCCTGGCTCAGGGGGGCTCTTTGCTCCCCGCAGCTCCCTGGGCTGGGTTTGCAGCCCCTCCTCGTGGGGGATCTCTGGGGCTTTTCCTTCTCCATCAGCCCAAGGCTTGGGAATGACAAATCCTGGTTTGGGGAAAAAACAAGGGGTGAGAGCCTTGGGCTGCAGGTTCCTCCTGCAGAGGACATTTCTGGAAGTCTCCAGGGGTTCTGAGTTAAAAAAAAATTTGGAATCTAGTAAAAATCTAGTAAAACCCACACGTCATGGAATGATTTTCTCTTCACCCCCGGGCTATGTGTGTATATGAAATAATTTCTGTTGCACATCCTGAAGCACCATAATTCAGCTCCCAAAATAACCCCCACAGGATATCAGCCCCTCTTGTCTCTCCAATCTGGGGTTTGGTGGTTTCTTTTCCTTGAGCTGCGGGGAGTCCTGTGGCTCCTGGGGTTCCCCCTCTGGGGTCTTGCTTACAGATGACCCAGGGGATTTTGAGGGTCCCAGGGGTCTGTTCTACCCTGATTCTCTGCTCCAGGATTCCATGGATCCCAGGGGTCCCCCAGCTCCAGGCCCTTCCTTCCACTCTTCAGGCTGCTGGATTTCACCCAACTCGAATCACCCCTCTCCTCTCAACTTTTCCCACTCCAGGGGTCTTGAGGTTCCACTCCACTGCTCTTCTGGAGAGGTCCCCAAGACTGATGTCCTCCCCCCACCTCCCCTGGTGATTGCCATGAAGACCCCTAAATATCCCCCAAAGGGGAATCTGAGACTCAGCTTTGGGGTCCTGCAACATCCAAATAATGCCCCAAAAACCCAAATCCTACCAGGGACCACAAAGACATTTGGGTCTTGATTCTGGAATCTGCAAACTCCAAACACTTCCCCGAGTAGAACTCGTCTGGAGGACTCCCTGATACATGTGGGGTGAGCTCCCCCTCCCTGGTCACCAGCAGGATGGAAACTTGTGCTTCTCCTTCTGCTCCTCTTCCTGCTCTTCCTTCTCCTCTCTTACTGTGCCCACCCCAAATCCCCCTTTCCCACCCCCCTCTGCCCCACAGCTGAAGCATCACCGGGTGCTGGGTGGGGGAAAGCGCCCCAAGGAGCTCCCCAAGGATGGACAAGGGGTTTGGGGAACCCCCCAGTGCAGCTCCATCCCTTCCCACAGCCCTGGGGAATTGCTCCAGGGATTGAATGATGGGGACACAAAGTGACTTCCATGGGAACCCCTTTCCTGCTGTCCCCCCTCCTGTTATCCACCTCTCCTATCCCTTTTCCATCATCCCTCTAAATCCCAGCTTCCCTCTGGCTCAGTTTGGGGGGTGACCTTCCCCTCTCCCTCGCAATTTTGGTGTTCTGAACGCCCTTTTATGGCTTCTCCCCCCCTTTCCCTTCTTGTTGAATAAGATGAAAATGCCTGTACAAAAAAATGGTGTGAATCTCCTTTGAGATAGAGCAAGGGACTTGTAGATAAGAAAGTGACAGGAGAAACCATCAGTTTCAGAAAATGTCATTAATCAACAGGAACTGCTGCTCAGCCAAGGTCCTGCTAAATTTCTGAACTTTGTGAAGAAAAAGATTGAACAGACCCGTGAATATCCTGTTTTATACAAAAGGGGAGAATGCTGGGGAGAATGTCGAGTTTGCATATTCTCCTAGAGGTAATTAAGGACATGGACATGCACGGGGACACAGAAGTCGAGAAGGGATTTAGAGAACAGGGGATGGATGGGGTTGGTGTGCTGGGAAGGGACTGGGGGAAGGGGAGAGTGCAGCAATATGGTTAAGGTAAGAAGCAGCAGGAGGAATCTGTGTGGGAAGAAAAGGATGATGGAAAAGAGGAGGAAGAGGAAAATACTCAGGACTGGGATGCTTTTCAGCAGGGTCTTAGCCTCAAAATTTGCCAGGTGATACTTTGAATTCCTGGTTCCCAGGGGAGGAAAAGAAGGTCAGGATGTCAGGGGGTTTCTCTGTGCTGGGCAGCGGCAGCAGCGGGCGCAGAGCTGCGGCACCGGGAGCACGGGCTGGGGGCCTGTGGGGAGCTGCGGGGCCGGGCCGGGGCTGTGGGGCAGCCGGGGCTCAGCGCCGGGCGCTGCCTGACCCCACCAGCCCCGGGCAGGGCCGGCAGTGGCCCCCGGCCCCCAGGAGGCTGCGGGACGCCCCGGCCGCTGCCCGGCCCCGTGGAGCTGCCGGCCCTGCCCGCCGGGGGGGCCGCCTTTGGACACTGCGGCAGGACAGGGACCGGCTCTGGGGTACGGCTGGGGAGGGAACCCTGAGCACAAGGAGGAGGAGCACAAAGAACATCTGGGAAATGCAGAATATACATGGAAAGACGGAGATTTTCTTTTAAGGATTTGGTTTGGGACACTGGAGAAACGAATGATTCTGCAGAAAGCTCGGCAGCTGTCAGAGGATGAAAGCCCAGGGCCCAAGGGGGCCCCAGCACCCAGGGGACGCGCTCGGCCACAAGCACCTGGCACAGGCACTGCCCTCCTGGGCAGGGGAGAGCCCACCCAAACAGCCCCTGGCAAGGAATCAGCCTTCCAGCTGCAGGGCACAGGGGCACTGCAAGCACACACAGCAGCACCCGCAGCAGGCGCAAGTGCACCCCTTGATGGACATGGATTGCCAGGCGGGGTCACAGCTCCCAGCACACCAGGGACCCACCACACTGGAGCCCTTGAGAACACTCAGGGTGCCTCTGCATCCAGAGGAGGCCTCTCCTGATGGACACAGGGGCCTCTCCATCCACTCTGAATCTCAGATGTAAGCAGGGGGAAAATGGTGAAAAAGTTGTTTGATCATTCAGAGGGTAAGTGGGAAAAATGAGCAGGTGTGTTTTCTTCAACCACTATGAGTGGATGTGGGAAACAGATTTCAAATGCATGGGTTCCTACTTCCACCTAACTGTGATTATCATTTACTGGGAAGGGATTCGATGGCTAATGTGGAAATACAGACTTATATTCTAAAAGGTAAAACAGAGCCTAATGCTGTACCTTTGTGTCAGATGAGTGGCAAGGCCTGTGCTAAAGTGAACCCAGAAGTGTGGGCAGCCCCAGGAAAATACAGTCAATTAGATATGGAGCCTCTCCAAATTACTTTCAAGCAACCAGGACAAGTGGTGTCTAAAAGCAACACCCTATTCCAAGGGAGGGAAGGAAGGGCTCACAGCCTGGTACTGAGTCCCTGTTAAAGGCAGGGCTTTTGGAGCCAGGGAACTCTCCCTACAACACTCCTATCCTGCCAGTCAACAAACTGGATGGATGGACACGAGTAGGAAAGACAGAATTTTCAGGTGTTAAAATGAAGATTAACTGAGGCTCCTGCCGTGGGTCTTCGAGACAGGGAAAAAAAATTTGGATTATGTGTGGATATTAAACGGGGTCTTGCCAAAGGAATTCTTCTGCTGAAATGTTTAACCCACTGGCCAGAGTGGCCTCGTTGTCTGCAGAATTGTGCAGACACAGCTCTCATGGGAACTGAGGCCCAAAAACTGATGACAGCAGGAGCATCTCTTATTGTTCAAGTCTGGCATCAAGTTAAAGCTTCGACAACCAAAAGAGCCTCTAAATGGAGGAGCAGTGCTTGGTTGTTACAGTAGGAAACTTGTTCAATGGCATAGGAGGATTTAGAACTGAGGACAGGGAAGGTTTAACCCAGCCTCCTGTTTGAACAGCCTGGAGAGGGGCTGGCAAGAAACCCAACACTGCATGCAAGGGACACAGCTCCAGACCCAGGCTGGCAGAGATTGATGAAACACACCCACCTTGGCACTTTGCTGCTCCCAACACCCAGCCAGGACATCGGCGATTGCACTGATGGAATATACACCAAGCTTATTTCTTTTAAAGCTTAATTCTCTACTCCGGCTTGGTTTGACTTTGCCTTGGGGAAAGAAATTTTAAAGGTTTCTTTTAAGGGATGTTTCACCACTCAACAGAGTTTAACATCTCAACAGACTGGGAACAGCCCAAAAGATACCCACAGAGATAAGGACCAGCAACAAAACATCAAGGCCCAGCAGCAAACAGCAACCAACAGCTCCCCCAGACACTGCCCCCGGCAGAGCTGGAGACACCTGCTCTGGAAAAGGCTCAGAAGGAAATCCAGGAGTGTGCACCTAATGAACAGCAGAGGCAAAGAAATCCGGGTCCAACAGGAAACCAAATGCTAAATAAGAACTCGGCAACTTGGAAGCAATGAACAATAAACAATTTCAATGGGTTCTGGACGGTAAAAAGTTAAGCATAAATCTAGTAAAACCCACATGTCATGGAATGATTTTCTCTGCACCCCCGGCCTATGTGTGTATATGAAATAATTTCTGTTGCACATCCTGACCAGAATCAATTAATGCATTGATTCTCTAACACTAGAAATATTGTTGAAGAATTTTGGTTCTTCTTGCAGTTTCGATTAGAAGATTACACGATTATAATGTTTTTTCTTAATAATCCTACCTGTATATTGCCAGTTAGATTTGGGGTGTTGGGCCAGGGGTGTGAGAATCAGTTTTTAGTCGTAGGAGAAGTAGAAAAAAATCTTTATGGCGTTGGATTTGTTTGTGTATGTGTCTGTATGGCTGTTGTGATGGCAAAATTTTGGTATGAGTTCTTCGACATTCAACTTTAGGCTTCATTTTGAAAAAATAGAAGAGCTTTAAAGGTGACCCTTAAAAGGGTAAAAAGTTAATACTGCATTGTTTAAAAAAAAAAAAAAAGTAGCTTTTAGGGGGGGACACAGGATGGCTCTGGAAGAGAAGCTTCATTCCATGCAACCAGGAAAGCAGCTTTAGAAATGTAAATTAACTAACACTGCGGGGGAGGAATTGGGCTGATTGCCTCTGCCCCTCACCCCAAGCTCTGCCTGCTTGCACTGATGGAATTTGCACAGCTCAAGGCAGAGTCCATGCTGAGGATATCTGACTGCAACAGAAATGGGTTCAGCTGCAAAGGGAAACAGCAAATGGAAAATGCTGGGAAAACTTCACTAAAATAAATGGGGGGGAATCATCCCTGAGCCCACTCCAACATGAGCTGTCACTGTCTATGCCCTATAGGATATATTAGAACACTGGGGTGTTCTTGCTACCACAAGT